GTTTTTAATCTAACATGTATGTTTATTTTGATTTCATCTTGATTGTGAGTTGATGTAAATGACTGAGGGTTTGGACTGGTCAGTGAAGTGTGTGTGTATCTGTCTGCAGGTGGAGCTGACGGGCAGCAGTGTGTTTGATTATGTTCATCCGGGCGATCATGTGGAGATGGCAGAGCAGCTGGGCATGAAGCTTCCTCCGGGTCGAGGGCTGCTGTCTCAGGGCACTGGGGCCGAGGACGGGGCCAGTTCAGCCTCTTCTTCCTCACACTCGGAGACACCAGAGCCTGGTAAGAGCATGGTGGTTTACACATCATAAGCTTGGCAAATACTAGCTTGCAACGTTAGGTTTGTGTTTACACTCAATCTTAGTTTGGTTAGATTTTATTTTATTTTATTTTATTTTATTTTATTTTATTTTATTTTATTTTATTTTATTTTATTTTATTTTATTTTATTTTATTTTATTTATTTATTTATTGACAACTTTTATTTATTCCAAATTATTTTATTTAATTTAATTTTAATTTTTAATTTAATTTCATTTAGTTTATTCCTAAATATTTTATTTAAAAAAATATTTTATTTAATTTTGTTTTGTTTTATTTTTAATTATTTTTATTTTCTTAATAATTATTTTATTTTTAATTTTAAAATGTTATTTAACTTTTTATATTCTAATTATTTTATTTTATTTTGTTAAAAATATATTTATTTAATTTTATTATATTCTTAATTGTTTTTATTTTATTTTAAATTATTTTTATTTATTTATTTTTTTTATTCAATTTAATTCTAAATTATTTTTATCCATTTACAAATAAATTTTTTTAATTAAATATTTTTTTTATTCTTAATTACGTAGTTTTATTTTATTTTATTCCTGATTTGCATGTTTTCATAGACCATAAATACAACAAAACTCATTCAATATGACACCCATCTGCACTTTGAGTTATGATCCATTGATCTGGAAGCTGTTTATTTTGTTTGCCCATCTGTTTATTTATTTATCCTCAAAGCAGTGTTGATTTCTGTGTTACTCTATGTGTTGCACCAAGTGGTCAATATGATGCTCAGAGAAAGGGCCTTAGAGAGTTGGCCAAAACTGTGTGTGTGGTCCTGGTATTCAAATATTATGAATGTTTCCCTCAAGTACAATAATACCAGCGTTTATTTTTACTTTGTGGGGACTTTGGCCTGATTAACCACAGCGAATTAATTATTTTTAAATAGTAAAAAAAAATGTAATAATGCACAATGTTTCCTGTTAAGGATTGTTTAGGTGTATGTACAGTATAAGCATCATTACATCTGTGTGACGTCCCCATAAAGAAATATGTACAAGTGTGTGTGTATCTCAATGGTCCTTGTATTCCAATGTTGTAATTGTTTCCATAAGGAAAACACTTATAAATCATCCTGAACTAAGTATTTTGTAGAATTTTTTTCGTGAGGTTATGGTTTAGGAGTACTGTAGGTAGGTTATACAGTCATGTTAAGTTTATTAGCTTTATTGTCATTGTCATTTTACTATGGGGACATACAGTGGAGGGAAATGTTGTGTCTAGCAGGACCACGGTGCTAGATAAATCAACATTATCAAAAACAAGGAACAACACTGGACTTAAGAGCTATTTTAAACCTATACTAAACATAACATAGTATAACAAACTAACATACCGGAGTCTAATCGAACTATGCTAACTACTAACTATATATATACTATACATACTATTTATACAAGAATATACATATCCTAGCACGGCCTGTACAACTAGTGCAATATGATTATGTGCTACATTCACAAGTAAACATTGTTTTCCTCATTAAGTGCTTGTAAGGTGGAGTTTAAGAAAAGTGCCCGGCACTGAAAAAAGTGTTGCATGCAGAACTTTTGCAAACAATTTATTTGTGTTGAATTTAAACCAAAAAAAAAAAGTTTAATAATGTTCAACTTAATTTGTTTGTTTAAATTCAACACGAATAAATAGTTTACAACCACTTAACGTAAAAAAAAATTGAGTAAATCCAAGCAATCATCTCTGAATATTTTTTTCAGTGTGTGCATATTGAGAGAAGAGTGTTTCTACGGGAGGTTTGTCAAGCCCACTCACTTGGGTGAGGCACAATCAGAAATCAATCTATAAAAGTCCATCTGTTTGCCCAATGATGAAACTAACAGTGTGGTCAAATGTTAAATGTGTGTAAGCCTTTGCTAGTGTTTCTGAAAAGGATTCTGGTATTATTAGAATTTATTTATATTTGTTTTTTTAGCTCTGAGTTTAATCTGTGATCACTAAATTTAGACAGTGTTGTTTCTTATTAGTACTTGATCATATTCATCAAAAGTCAATAAATTTGGATATTTGATTATTTCAGATACACTATATGTATGTTATTCTTTCATTGGGGACCAATTGTTGTTCTGAGTCCATGTGTGGCCAATTTCACATGCATTCCCTATTTGGGCTCGACACCTTGATTCTTAGTCAGAGGTTTGTAGGCGACTGCAGCTGCCTTCTGCTTGCTCTGTGACTGAAAAGGTAGTCTACCTAGTCTCTTACCATGCAACTTGCCAGATCAAAAATGGTCAGAAAGCTAAATGCCTACAAATAAGTGCTGTCTGCTTCTTTATTTGTGATCCTTGAGTCGGATCCACACTGGCTGTAAAACACCAAAGGTCAACAAAGTGTCTACACAATTTACTCGTAATAATGACTTCAGTCGAATTCAAAATAAATCAATTATAAATTATTATTTGTCAGGGAAAATTATATTATGCCACTTACAAAATAAAACAACCACAAAGCCAGTTCAAAGATGATACTGTAAATATACAAGGTTTATTACTCAAAGTCAAATCAAAGAGACAGAGATGTAAACCTGACCAGAGAAGTATGTTGCGATAGGTCTGAGACTCACACACTGCAATGGGGTGTCTTGGCTACAAGATCTCAGTGACATTTTGGCACCTTACCCTTAAAAACTCAGAACAAAGAACCATAAACTAAAGATGATAAAAGCTTCACCAAGACCTCTGTCTGGTCATATGTTAACCTAAAAACTAACCACCATCTGGGGTAAAAAGTTCATAATTGGCAGACAATTTCACAGATCAGCAGCACAGACTTTTCTCAAACTCAGTACAATAATTATCATAATACAAGTGACGACTGCAATATTAAGACCATTCACCAATCACACAGAGACCTTTAACATTTCACCAAACATGACAAGTTAAAGTTATAGATCACATGATACACAAGATACACCATATGTATAAAGATTTAGTGTGAAGTGTCCGTGACCTGAGCTTTGATTGAAAAAGTGAAGGGGACAGTAGAGAGGAGGGCACAACCCAGGCACATAACGTCAACATGACGTCATATTAAAGTTTTACTCCGACATACTCCAACGTCATTGGGATGTTGGATTTTTTTATTTGGAAATGAAAATCGGGTTGAAGTCTGAACACAAAGTCAGGCCAATGTCCAACATCCAACCTAAAATCAACCAAATACCAACATCTAATCATGTTACACCTTGACGTTGTGTGGACGTTATCAATGACGTCTATCAGACATTGAATTTTGGTCACTTTCCAACACAACCTAAAATCAACTAAATATCAACGTAATTTGATGTGGTTATTGGATGTCAAAATAATGTCCTTGGTCACCTGACGTCATGGAATTTTGATCACCTAACATTATGACCTAAATCGAACCTAATATTAAACATGTTATGATGTTGTGTGCCTGCTGGGATGATGAGCAACTGAAGCGGTTCAAGAACTTACTTTCTTGCAGATCTGCTTCTCAGACTAGTAAGTTTATTGTTTTATTGCATGGCAATTCTTGTGGACTTGTCTCATGAAATTCCATAACAATTCACAGGGTCTGATATTATAAAGAGATTTAGCCATCCTTACAATTACATCTGTAGGAAATAGTCCCCCCATAAAACGTGAGAACCCAGCACACGTGTGTATGTGTGTGTTAATGGCATGTGTGACATGATATGGCTGATGAGTGTCTTCCGCTCGGCCCCGAACTCTCCAGGGGCCGCGGCACTGTAACACAGGCTTACCCTGCTCCCGAATTTAATTAGAGGAATTGTATGGCAGGGATGAAAAGAGGTGACATTCCTCATTGGAATTCCTTTCAGGGCTCTTATAGACTTTGCCTTCCAAATGTTCCCATTTTCATTGTGTTGTACTGATGATAATTTAAGTATTAGGGGAAAATCCATTTATAAATTAAACAAAATGACTTGATATCCATCAGTCCCCGAGTTCATCAAGCTGTTCAAACATGAGGGAGATTGGCTGGTCGGCCCGGGTCTTCCGAGAGCTTCAGTAATTAGATCTGCCAAGGATTTATTCTTTGCTGATTGGAGCTTTAAATTAATTGAAGTTCCACATTTGTGGTTTTGTCCTTTTCGTGGCGTTCTCTTTTCCTTTTTTTTTTCTAGTGGGCAGAAATTTCACACTGGCAGACTCTAAGTGTGTGTGTGTGAGTGTGTGAGGGTCTTTAATGCTTAGAGGGCTGGTCTGATGCTGAGATTTATTTGTGTACACACAGAATCATTAAAGATGTGCTTTACTCTCAGATAAAGGGCACTACGGTCTGTCTTCTAACACCAGAGCTTCATTTATAAATGATGAGGAATTGAGTCTCATGCTGTGCAACAAGTTCTTGGTGCTCATTTTTGAGGATTAAACGTGGATTTATGATGTGCTAACTAGACCAAATTGGATTACAATCATTAAAGCATAGCAGTTTTCTACATCGTAGTGCAATTTAATGGTACAAGATGAGAACTAGGATGACACGTTGGCTCAGTGGTTAGCAATGTTGCCTTACAGCATGAAGGTCACTGGTTTGAGTCCAAGCTGGGTTAGTTGGCATTTCTGTGTGAATTTGGCATGTTCTCCTCATGTTCCCGTGGGTTCTGTTTCCCCCACTGTCCAAAGACATGCGCTATAGGTGAATTGGACACCCCATTCTGATTACGTACCCTTATATACATTTCTGGAGAGCGCCATATATGTCCCAGGAGCTATGTTTTTTTTGCCATTTTTGTTTTCGCGACTCCACCTGAGACCGCTGTGTATGTTTTTAAAGGTCTATCTCAAATTTCTTTCACGAGTGCCATTCGTGCCTGCTGTTCTTATGTAAATCCACCAGAGGCCGCAGTCGGCTGACTAACTGACCAACCTACCGATCTCACCCTTCTCCTTCCCTAAACACATTCAATAGCCTTTTAAAAATCACAGATTGACGAG